CGTAAAACCCGTAAAACCGTAAAAACCGTAAAAACGTAAAACGTAAACGTAAGAACGAGACGACGACGTACGTACTACTACTACTACGTAGTAGAGAGAGAGAGAGAGAGAGAGAGAGGGAGAGAAAGGGTTCTCTCACCTTGACGGCCCCTGGGAGCTGGGATAACCGCCGGAGGCTAAAGGGGTTCGGAGAGGACCGCAGATATCCGCGATAAACGGCTAGAAATATTCAGAGCAGATAATTAGCAGGGATTCTCAATCAACCGCTCTCTGGAGAGAGAAAGAAACGGATAAGAGAGAAAAATGAAGAGAGAGAAAGCGAGTAAAGCAGGGTCAGGGAGATACCAGAATAGACAGATGACGAATGTGAATGGAGGAATGAGGAGGAGAAGGGCGTGGAAGGGGGGGAATTTATTGGGGAGGGACGAGGCGGAAAACAGTGAGCCATTCTCACTCTCTAACCGCCCACGTTTCCGTTTCCTCTCTCCCTCTTTAACGTAGGCAAGCAACCCCACTCTTTCTCTCTCTAGAAACAACCCGCTGCCTTCTCTCTCTCTCTAACGCCCACGTTTCCGCTTCCGTCTCTTTAACGCATGCAAGCCGTCTCTCTCTGAAAGCAACCCGCTGATTTCTCTCTCTCTAGAGTCACGGACAGCAGGACGCGTGGGCATGGTCTCCGTTAAATGTGACGGAGGATGGGTCTGCCACGTCTGAGCCACGCCGTACAGTGGCAGAGTCGGCACTAAATAATTGTCACGCTGGATCCACGTCATGTTGAGGGGAGACATATCGTATCAGTATTGTCAGTCTTTTGTATTGATTGAATAGTAACTGTATTCTCCAACCATGCCATTACATGTGGCGTGTAGCGCTTCGCCGTTGCTTTTGCCTTTACGACCCACTTCGCCAAAGAACTTAACCTTTTGGACTCAGCCCGCACTGTTTATTTGAACGGTGCACTGTTTTTTTTGAACGGTGCTGTTGGCATACGGATGCATCCGTACGTGTATCAATAAGGTGCCCTTTTCAAATTTTATCATTTTCTATAAATTTGATGTAAACTATTTTTAAGATTATCTCAAGTAAAAAGTTTATATAAAAATGCAACTTAAAAAGGTAGAATTATATATACACACAAAAGATCCATCGGAAAAGATTGTTTTAAAATTGAAAAAACTTTTAATTGATCATTTTGACAAGATGTATGAATATGAAAAAAAAAAAGATTTTGAATCAAAAAAATAGTGTCTTATAATACATTATCCAAACCGTCCATTTTGTAGATTTTCATATATTTATATATCTGTTTCATTTTAACTATTTTTTAAGTTTAAAAATTTTGAGATAATCCTAAGAATTTTTTTTCAAAATTACATGTTATGATAAAAT